CATTCCAAAGATGAGGAAACTGAGGCCCAGTAGCAGTAGGAAACTAAGCCAGGACCACATAACTAATAAGTAGAAAGGCAGTTTGAAGCCAGGCATTTGGCCCCAACCCCATGTGACCCTCTGTACACTGTCTTGAAAGCCCAGTGTAAGTCCCACAACACCCCTGAGGCAGTCCCTGCAGAGACCCAGCCTAGTGTGAGCACCAACATACAGTGTTATTCATGGTACATACTACCTTATGTGATTTAGACATGTCCCTGTGTTAATCTTATCCCAGCCACGGGCTTTTTAACTCTTTGTTTAAAAAAATGTTTTTTAACTAACTTGCTTTATATGAAGGATGATATGAATGAATGATTTACTCTTTAGACAGTTTGTCGCCCCCACCCTGGATGGGCATGGATCAATTATACAGTGCAGTGGGCCCGAGAGACCTCTATCTGCTGTGATAAGCAGTGTGTACACCTTGTTCCTTCTGTAGAAATCTTCACGTGCAGAGGATGACATGTTTTTATTCACACCGCAAACATTGACTGCAGACTCATTGTATGGAAGGCACAATTCTACAGATACAAAAACAGTGCTTTTTATAGAGTCTTACAAAAATACTAGTAAATTGCTTTTCCCCCTCCCTCTCCTAGTTCAAAGCAAATCTGGAGAAGAACAAGCAGGGTCTGGAGACAGACAACAAGGAGCTGGCATGCGAGGTGAAGGCGCTGCAGCAGGTCAAGGCTGAGTCTGAGCACAAGAGGAAGAAACTGGACGCCCAGGTCCAGGAGCTCCATGCTAAGGTCTCGGAGGGAGACAGGCTCAGGGTGGAACTGGCCGAGAGAGCAAATAAGTTACAGGTGAGCCTGGAAAACCTTTACTGTGGGTACACCTCGCAGCGGCATGTCCGTAGTTACCGTTTTATCCCCCTGTGGCCATACGAATCCCCCGGCTAATGTGCTGCAAATGCCTGACAACAGCATCCCAAGTGAACATGCCTGGGTCTGGGTCCCTGGTGTGTTTGATTAAGTTAAACACTTAATTTAAGAATAAGCATGAGTTGAACTTAACCCTCTCAAGTCCCACTCTGAATTGTGGGTCCAGTTCTTTAATGACTTTAAGCACTGCTTCAGCTTCCCCATTAGTCTAGTCAGTAAGAGAACAGGAACAAGGAGCAGAACCTCATACCTTCAAAAATCATACTGAAGATTTGCTCAAACTGGACTGTTGGGACACTGCTAGTTGAAGTATAAATTAGCACAGCCATCCCTAGAGGACCGTCAGGCAGTCATGGTGTCACAAGCCTTAAAAATGTGATACCCTTGGACCCAAGAAATTCATGTCGACAAATTTATCCTAGGAAGATAATTAAGGATATACACAGAGATTCAACTTAAAAAATGTTCATTGTAGAAATGTGTATATTAGAATTGGAAGTAACTTTAATATTCAAGATAAATACTTATCTACACCCAGTGAAAACAATATAGTAGAGTTTTTATAGGTGAGGAAAGATGTACATCATGTCCTGCTGCACTGGAATGAAAGGACAGAACTGTGTTAGGTCATCGATCCAGGGCCACCCTCAGGTGGGGATTCACTAGGAAGACTCCCAGGACTCAGCATGTCGCCCTGTTCTCATCAGTGATTGATTATAGCAAAGGGATATGAGAACAATCAGCAAAGGGACCAAGTGCCTGCCTGGGACGAGGCCCTGGGGAAACTGGCCTGAGCTTCCAGCACCTGTTCCCCCAGAGCAGTCACACATGGGCCGTGCTGGCCCCAAGTGACAGCGGGTGGGAAGTGTGGTCCCCCAGGGATGCTCATACAGACTCAGTGCCCGGGGTCCTGCTGGGGGCTGGTCCCATAGGCGCCCTCTGCCTCGCACGTACCCAAACTGCAGGCTCCCCGAAGGAAGCAGGTGTTGAGCGTAAACCACTGAGTTGACATGACCAGTTTGGCAGGGTGAGCCATCTTATTTAAGGAACGGTAGGAGCCCTTCTGAAATCTGAGCTCCCAGATGGCAGCCAAGGGCCAACATCACAAGCAAACCTTTCTAAGGAGTCTCAGGCCTCCTCTGTTAACTCTTTTCTGCACCAAATGTACAGAGTGTGTGTGTGCACACATGTTTTTGCCCTCACAAATCCTGAGAGGGATTCCTAAAAGAAATGTTAAAACGCCCTTGTTAACTAACCCCGTGACTGGCAGGGAAGCGAGATGGGTGCTGCCCGTGGGGCACCGGGGCTGCACAAGGTGTATGCCAGGCTTCTTGTGTGTGTTCTTCCATTTCATCCTCACGCCACCCCCGGGGTGCATCTGGTAGAGGAGGAATGTGAGGCTCGAAAGAAGCTAAGTGGCTCACTTCCCTCTGGCAACTTTCCTAGCAGTGTAAAGAGCTAGAGTTGAAGGATGAGGTCTCTGATGAGCCCTTCTCCCCGCACTGTGGCCAGGAGTGATGAACTGTGGGCTCTCTGAGGGATGTCGTTAAAGTAAGTAAAACCAGAACCAGTGTTGGCTTGAGGTGCAGAGAGAGATATATCCTCTGTGTGCCTTCCCTTTGCTAACATGACTAGAGGACAAACTAGAGCAACGGGGTGCCCTGCTGCCCCTTCCAAGGCCCCCCACTTCTAGTACCCACTGTCCTCACAAAAAATCATGAAAGGTCTGGTACCCTAGGAGCTGGAAGGAAGGTGATTTTAGAGTCATCATTAATTGAGGAGGAAAAAGAAAGAATATATACCACGATTCATAAAGTCTGACTATAATAGCTAAATATTCATGATAGGTAGGTAGTACCCAATTTTTAAAGCATAAAAAGAGTTTGGGCTGTGAATACTAGAATTTAAACTTTGCTGATTCTCTGTAATCATCTTCAAGTCTGTAAGAATATGAATATACTTTCCCCCCACCAAGCATATGCATCTTAGCTTGAAAAAGGATCAAAATAAAACACCCACTGAACCTAAAGCCACTTCACATAGGATAGCAGTCACCCTTTCAGAAGATATGATACAAGCTTTGTCTCTTCACAATAAAAAACAAAATACTAAACCCGAGCTAGGTGAACCACTGTCGGTGTGTGGGCTGTCCAGTTACAACAGGGAGAGATTTTCAATAGGAGAGATGCGTAATCTGCCTCTGGTGGCTGGTCTGGTGCCTGCGGTCTGGGCACCGTTGGGCGGCAGCTGACCTTTGGTGGTGAAAGAGTGCCTTAACTGAGTGTGGTAGTTTCTTAAGAGCCCTTAAGAGCCGTGATCCTGGACCTTTTTTGTGTGCTTACTGCTGAGTTAAATTTAATCTTCCCCTCCTCCTGGCAGAATGAACTGGATAATGTCTCAACTCTTCTGGAAGAAGCAGAGAAGAAGGGTATTAAGTTTGCTAAGGATGCAGCTAGTCTTGAGTCTCAACTTCAGGATACACAGGTATTCTAGGGGCCCCAAGGGGCCTTTAATAATGCTACCATTTCTGTAATCTGTAAATCAGTAAAACATGCTGGTCCCAGAATTGCGTTCTCCTCACCTCTGATTTTACACTGTACTTTTACTTGGAACCAACTTGCACCACAACCGGCCCTGCTCTCAGGCAGTCTCCTGTGAAACTCAGTGTCCTGAGGCCGAGCCCTTGTTGGCTCCTGTCAGGCAGCCGGGCGGCAGTCTAGGAGGCAGCTCTGGGTGGCACCAACGGGCGCTGCCTAGGATGTGGCCACATTTGTTAGGATGTTTTTAAGTCAGACAGAAGTTAGATAAATGACTCTGATGATAATGAAAATAGTGGAGCACTTTTTTCTTGGAGTTTGACATCTTACTTTTATTAAATTTGCAAACTTTATATGAGTGTTTATTTGCCAGGTTCTGGGCTAGGTGCTTGGGATACAGGAGTAAGAATTTCAAACAAACAGACAGTGGAATAATTGGGCAGTTAGAGACAAGCTGAGTGTGACTGTGGCCTACTCTGTGACAAGGCACATCCACGTTGGTGGGACTAAAGAAAGAGGCATAGGCCAGATCACACACAGAAAGCTCTGTATGTGCCTTTGAAAATTTTCAAGTCTGAAAGTAATGAGAAAGACATGTTTGCATTTACATCTTAGAAAAATTAATCAGTCAGAAGTATGAAGAGCAAACAATTGAGGGGTTGCCCAGTACTGTGTGAGGTAATCACCATGAGAAATGCCAAGTGCCTGAACTGAGGCAGGGGCAGGAGAATGGAGAGGAAGGGGTTCCTGAAGGGTGAGGTACAGGAGATACAAGCGGGGAGGCGTCCCAGACCACCCACAGGCCCGAGGCCCAGGCCCCTGGGTGGGTGGGGTTGCCATTCCTCATGACTGAGTTTAAAGCAATGTTTGTGTTAAGAGCTTTTATAAAGTTCTCGTGTGGGTTTTTAAATCATTGTTCAATATTACTGGCATTTCTCATACACTGAGGCTCCTTTTTATGATATTAACTTCTTTTTTATTAGAGGTACTTTGTCTTGGTGAATAATCTAACTTAGGTATTGACCTTTTATAAAAATAAATAGGAGCTTCTTCAGGAGGAGACACGCCAAAAACTGAACCTGAGCAGTCGTATTCGGCAGCTCGAGGAGGAGAAGAACAGCCTCCAGGAGCAGCAGGAGGAGGAGGAGGAGGCCAGGAAGAACCTGGAGAAGCAAGTGCTGGCCCTGCAGGCCCAGGTGTGTGTCCCCCCAGAAAGCTGGGGTGGCCTAGATGTGTGTTTTTAGCAGCTCTTGTCCCTGCTATCCTGGGTCGTTTCAGCTCCATTTAGGACAGTTAATTAGGTCATACTAAATTAAGCCCACTCGGTGTTTTTCTTTTGACCCAGCCAACTGCTGATTCTATGCTGGTTATAATGTTGGAAGCACTTTAAGACAAAGGATTGTGTCAGCTAGTTTCATAGGATTCATAAGGTTTCATTTAGTCATTGTTTTATAGATTATTAACTAAGAAATTAAGTTAAGCTAAGATCCATTTGCTCAAAATCACATCATATCAATTTACATTAATTCCTCTCATAAAACATTGAAAAGTTTTTTTCTTTATTCCTCAAGTGCAAAATCCAGTTGAGTTCTTCAATATTGATCTTTTCTTTCTTTACATAAAACCTAGTTGATTGATACCAAGAAGAAAGTAGATGATGACTTGGGAACAATTGAAAGCTTGGAAGAAGCCAAAAAGAAGCTTCTTAAGGATGTGGAGGCATTGAGCCAGCGCCTGGAAGAAAAGGCCTTGGCCTATGACAAGCTGGAGAAGACCAAGAACCGCCTGCAGCAGGAGCTGGACGACCTGATGGTGGACCTGGACCATCAGCGCCAGATCGTCTCCAACCTGGAGAAGAAGCAGAAAAAGTTTGATCAGGTGGGTCGTCTACGTCCATCTCCCAGCCTCGAGGACCAGGGCCACACATTGCTTCCTCCTGGCAAAGCTCTGTTTTTGTTGTTTTGGTTTAAAATAATCCTTTCTTATTTAAAAGCAATACATTTTATAACAAAATTAGAAAAAGCTGGAAAGCAAAAAGAAGGAAACAAGAGAACACTCATAACCTCATAGTAGCAGTTAGACCTGAAATGAATGAGAGGAAGTTCATTGGTTTTTAAACTGTTTAATATTTCCCGGTGCCATTCCACACAGCTGTTAGCAGAGGAGAAGAATATCTCTGCTCGCTATGCGGAAGAGCGAGACCGTGCCGAGGCAGAGGCCAGAGAGAAGGAAACCAAAGCCCTGTCCCTGGCCCGGGCCTTGGAGGAGGCCCTGGAGGCCAAGGAGGAGTTTGAGAGGCAGAACAAGCAGCTGCGGGCGGACATGGAAGACCTCATGAGCTCCAAGGACGACGTGGGGAAGAATGTGAGTGCCCCTGGGACCCAACCCTCTGAAGTGGGAGCAGGCAGGTCCGGAGGTGTCCTGAAGGGTCTGGGGATGCCCAGCCCCACAGCCAGGTCGTCTTGCGGTGTCTTGGCCCATATGTAATTAGGAGACTAAAGTCTTCTGGGATCCACCGTCAGTTTTCTGCGCCAAAGCCAGACTCGGAGCTCCTGCAGCAGCACCAGCAGGAGGGATCACAGCTTTGCTTATTCCTGTCGCTTTCGGCGGCCTCCCTGACTAACCAACATCCTGGCAGGGGACCCAAACATAGGGCTTCACTGCTCCTGAGTCACAGGTAGTTTCCAAGCGCGCGTGTGGCAAGGCGCCCTCAGCTAAGGTAATGGGATCATCTTCAGCTTGGAGTGGGAACCTGGAGAGGAAGCGGTGGGAACAGAGCTCTCTGACCAGGGTCTTCCCGGTGACACCCTGTTGTTTTCTCTGAAAGCTTCAGATGCTTCTTACTTTGGAAATTTTAGAATGTTTTATCCTTCCCCTGCATACCTCCTCCATGAGAGCTGTGATGGTTTTTATTTACCTTTTGCCTCTCCTTAGTATATGAGGTGTTGAAGATAATGAGGCAAACTGGGCCTGGAGTCAAGAACAGGTTTGAGGCTTGGCTCTTCCCAGCTTCCCTTCTGATCAGGAGAAGCCAATCACTCTAGTAAATGCCCTAAATTTCCTCACCTGTCAAGTGGACATTTGCTCTGTTCTGTGGAGCTACTGCAGAGGTGCTTTGGAAAACTGTGACCACGTCGTAAGGAAGGGAAAGGCATCCTACCTTCCAGGCCATGTTGTAAGGAAGGGAAGGGTGTCCTACCTTTCTGCTGGTCATTGGGGAATAATTAGTTGATTTTAGAACACATGTGAATAAAGAAATCGGTAGTCGTTTAAATGGCATACTCTGAAATGAGGACTAGCAGCTGCAGTAGAGGGAAAGGGAGAATGTGGGATGTGCCAGTAAGCGGCCCAGGGGTGGCTGGAGTAACCATGCTGTGTGGGGGCCTGTAAAACAGAAAGGCTGCTGTCCCTGCTTGTGCTTCTGCCACAGGTCAACCCTTTCCTAATGCTTCCTATGGTTTAGGTTCATGAACTTGAAAAATCTAAACGGGCCCTAGAGCAACAGGTAGAGGAAATGAGGACCCAGCTGGAAGAGCTAGAAGATGAACTTCAGGCTACAGAAGATGCCAAGCTTCGCCTCGAGGTCAATATGCAGGCCATGAAGGCCCAGTTTGAGAGGGACTTGCAAACCAGAGATGAGCAGAATGAAGAAAAGAAACGGCTGCTGATTAAACAGGTAGGTGGAAGGAAGTGTGGCCCAAAACAAGCAGTTACTTGTTCTGAAAGCACAATTTGGGGTCCATATAATTATCCATTCTTATTAGAATTCATTAGCAGGAATAAAATTAATTTATTTGGCCATTTGATTATATTCTTTAAAATTTAATGTAACTGGTTTTGATTTCCTATTTCTCAGATAATATCATTCCTGCTTACAAGCCAGGATACTTACCATCAGATGAAAGGCCCTCACTGGAATCTCAAGAGAATATGTAGTTAAGTTAAAGTTTTGTGGGTCTTGAAAGTATGAGTAAAGGAAAAAATCAATACACACCTGACAAAGCGACTCGGTATTTTCCGGAAGTTCGGACCACATGTTCTCATTAAACCACTCCTTAAAAGAAAAAAAATGCAGATATTTACATTTTTTTATTTTAAAAAGTTGTACTTAAACTTACTTAAAGTGTATTTTTAAAACACTTAAGATTGTATACTTTTCTGAATGTATATTGAGCTTCTAATTTAAAAGTTTACTTTAAAGATTAATTGTCAATATTTTGATAGTCCTTGGAGCTCCTGGTATCAGGTCTTGGATTTGGGATGTATTCAGTTTGTTTTATATGTTATTTTCAATCCACTAATATTTATTAGTCATTTATTTCTAGTCAATAAATTATCTCAAATGTAGCAACTTAAAGCAATACTTACCCACAGTTTCTGAGGGTCAGAAATTCTGGAGCAGCTCAGTGGGGTGCATCATCTGCAGGCCTGTCTTGGACCAGAGGACCTGCATCCAAGCTGGCTCACCCACACAGGGCGGGCCCGAGACCTCAACACTTCACTGGCAGGCCTCCCCACGGGCTCGAGTGTCCTGGAGGGAACCTTCCCCAAGAAGATGTCTTACATCTTTTAGTTTTGTTGTTTCACCTAGACTTACAGCCTAAGATCAAGGACTCTCGACTTCTTCAGTACCTGATGAGAGTCCATGGAAATGGATTGTACTAGGTGTCATTTAATCACCTCTGAACAAAATTTAACTACTCTTTTTTCCTGATACTAAAAATAACTGCTTGGTAGCAGAGAGCACCTCTACAGAGTACTAGAGCCCTGGTATGATGACAGGCTGCCTGTTCTTTATGAGGGAACACTTAGGTCTGACCAGGCCTAACCAAAACCATCCATTAGGTGCGGGAGCTCGAGGCAGAGCTAGAGGATGAGCGGAAACAGCGGGCGCTTGCTGTTGCCTCAAAAAAGAAAATGGAAATAGACCTGAAGGACCTCGAAGCTCAAATTGAGGCTGCAAACAAAGCTAGAGATGAAGTGATCAAGCAGCTTCGCAAACTTCAGGTATGTGCAACCAGCTGCTAGTCTTTGATGGTGTTGGCTGGCCCTATGAGATCAAGCACATGACCCCTGAAGCTAGAGAGAAAAGTTCCGTGCAGCAGCCCGTCTGCCATCTTGCCAGCGAGCCACTGCTGACGCATCCCCACCGGAGGGGGCAGGGCAGAGCTGTCACCCTTGGCTGTGGACTGAGGCAGCAGCTGTAAAGGTGGGACAGGGGCACCTCCGGTGTCTACAGGATGCGCTTGGCCCCACTTACTGAGTCTTTGACAGAGCTGAGGTGTAGTCAGGAGGGAGTTCCACCACAGGGGACATGCTCTCAGGGCTCAGAACAGCCTCAGGTGACACTTGACCAAACATGACCACTGAGCCACTCCAGAGGAAGCGGGTGTCCACCTCCCACTTTAGTGCTCATGAGCTTTAGCTGTCTTAGTCTGACATAATCAACACTTTGGCTACTCAAGCGGATGCCGGTTTTTATTATCACAGTGACAAAAAGTGATTTCTTTAATTACTCACAGTATTAGCAGGCTGTAATGGGCGGGTACAACTTCTCTGGGAGGAAGTTGTCAGTTACAACAAAAGCATTAGATACCCACTCCTTTGACCTTGGTGATTCTACATCTGAAGAATTTAGTCTAATAAAATGGAAAGATGAGAAGAAATATGTATATACAAAGATCAAATCTGAAGTGTTAAAAATGAAGGCAACCCAGTGTAAGTGGATTGCCAGCCACTTCATGATGGGATATGGTTACACTGACAGCAGGGCCTAAATAAACAGGAGGATACAGTGTAGAGTGATTTCATGTATAACTCTACACAGGTGTATCAGCTTTTGTATACAGACAAGTAGAATCATATAACAGGTGGCCTCCTGTGACTAACTACTTACTTTCAGCATGTTTTCAAGGTTCATCTTTGATTCATTTGTGTTATAGCATGAATAATTACTTTATTCCTTTTGATTACCAAATTATATCCATCCCATTATATGGGCATACCACATTTTATTAATCCATTCCTCATTGGTGGACATTTGGGTTGACTTTTTGGCTATTATGAATAATGCTGCTTTGAACATTTATATATATTTGTGTGGACATGTGCTTTCAATTTTCTTAGGTATATACCTAGGAGTGGAATAGCTGTTATATGCTAACACTGTTTAACTTTGAGGAACTGCCAGATCTTTCCAGAGAGACTACCATTTTACATTCCTATCAGCTATGCATGAGGATTCTAATTTCTCTACATCCTCACCAACACTTGCTATTGTCTATCTTTCAAGTATAGTCATCCCAGTGGGCATGAAGTGGTATCTCACTGTGGTTTTGATGTGCATTTCCCTAATGACTAGTGATGTTGAATATCTTTTCATGTGCTTATTGGCCATTATCTTATTAGAAAAAATACCTCAATCCTCTGCTCATCTTTTTAATTGCATTGGAACATTTCTATGTATATTCTGGATGTTTCTTATGAGATATATGATATCCAAATATTTTCTTCCATTCTGTAGATTGTTCACTCACCGAAGGTACTGTTGAAAGCACGAAAGTTTTTCATCTTGATGGAGACCAGTTTATTTTTTCTTTTGTTTCTTGTACTTCTGTTACCATATCATGAAACCACTGCCTAATCCAAGGTCATGAAGATTTATTCCTATGTTCTCTCCTAAGTTTTAGACCTTTAGCTCTTTAAACCCATTTTGCGTTAATTTTTGTTATATAGTTTGATGTATAAACCCAACTTCATTATTTTGGATATGGATATCCAGTTATCCCAGCACCATTTACTAAAAAGACTATCCCTTCCCCCCCTGAACTGTCTTGGCATCTTGTCAAAAATTAACAGACCATGGATTTGTGTGTTTATTTCTGGACTGTCATTTCTTATTCCACTGATCTCTATGTCCTTATGCCAGTACCACACAGTCTTGATTACTAGCTTTATTAAGCTTTGAAATTAGGAGGTGTGACTCCTCCAGCTTTGTTTTTCTTTTTCAAGATTGTTTAGCTATTAGAAGTTCCTTGCACTTCCATATGAATTTTAGGGTCAACTTGTCGATTTCTGCCAAAATCAAAGGTGGCCAGCTTGGATTTTGGTACTGCTTTGGCTTGGTAGATGAGTTTGGAGACTACTGACATCTAAAAACTATATTCAGTCCTCCAGTTTGTGAACCTTGCTATCTTTCCATTTATTTAGCTGTTCTTTTTTTTCAATGATGTCTTATTTTATAGTTGATGTACAAGTCTCATACATATTTAGGTAAATTTATACCTAAGTGTTTTATTCTTTTTGATGCTATTATAACTGCTTTCCTCATTTTGGAGTGTTTATAGTTAATGTGTAGAAATACAATTGATTTTTGTATGTTGACCTTGTATCCTGCTGCCTTGCTGAATTCATTAATTAGTTACAATTTTTTAGTGGATTCTTTAATATTTTATACCTACAAAAGCATATCATCTGCAAATGAAGCTAGTTTTATTTTTTCCTTTCCAATCTGGAGGTCTCTCCTCTCTCTTGGCCAAACTGCTTTGACTCCAATCTCCATACAGTGTTAAACAGAAGTGGCTAGGTCAGTCATCCCTGTCTCATGGCTTGCCTTGGGGGAAAACATTCAGTTTTTTACTAATAAGCATGATATTAGCTATTGGTTTTTAATTGATGCCCTCTATTAGAGTTGAGGAAGCTTAGCTCTATTTCATTTAGTGAGTGTTTTCTTTAACAAAAGCACATTAGATTTTTGTCAAATGCTTCTTCTGCATTTACAGAGATGAATCATGTGATAATATTAATTTATTTTTGGATGTCAACCCAACTTGCATTCCTTTGATAAATCCCACTTGGATGGTGGGATATAATGGTATATAAATATACATGGTGTATAATTTTTTTATATGTTGGTGGATTCAGTTTGCTATTATTTCCTTGAAAATTTTTGCATCTATATTCATAAGGGACATTGGTCCGAATATGTTCTTGTGGTATCTTTGTCACTTCCATATTTTTTTTAATATTTATGATGAATATATATTATTTTTATAATCTGGAAAAAAGATCCTATAATGTATAAAAACTAAGAATGAAAACTACCCTAAAACCTTCCTGTTCCTACCTTAGGCTCAGATGAAGGATTACCAGCGTGAATTAGAGGAAGCTCGTGCATCCCGGGATGAGATTTTTGCTCAGTCCAAAGAGAGTGAAAAGAAACTAAAGAGTTTGGAAGCAGAAATCCTTCAATTGCAGGAGGTTTGTTTGTTTACTTTTTCATCCATTTATTCAACAAATATTTGCCCTTAAAATTTCTCCACCATCAGATAAATATATTGTAGCCTAGTATAATTTCACTTTCCATTTTAAAATAGTACCAGAGCATCTTACTGCCTGAGCTCAGCGAACAAAATGGTCGCATTCCAACACTGCACATATATGTCCCCTTGCCTGGGTGAAGGTAGAGTCGCTGATCAGTAACTTTTCAAACCACCTTCTAAGATTGTTCCAGGAAAGGGAGTGATATTTATTTCCTGTTGCTAAGAATCAGGATCAGTTAACTCTGCTCTTAGTGATATAAGATTGCCTTGTTTTACACAAAAACACTATTCATATGATATTTAAAAGGAGAAAAGTTGTGTTTCATTAAATTCCTAAGTGATTCATTTTATAGTCAGTTCTTTCATTTCTCTCTTCTATAAGTTCTCATGGAACAGGATTGATGAAGAGGTACATAGAGTATGGGATCACTGCAGTGCTAGGCACCCTTAACCACATGGAGGTACAACTGATGTACAAAGGATGTGTACATACAAATGTGTACAAAGAGCTGTACATATTTAATGTGTACATACCTTTCTATGTAAAGGATGATCAAGATGTATTCAAACCTCAAAAGATATGAGCAAATTAAATTGAAATGTATCATTTCATGTGAAAAAATTCCCAATACAAACATCTAGAAATGCTAGATAAAATGTTACCAAAAAACACCTATGAATGCAGAGTTGAGCTTGCAGGAGAGGGAGTTCTCTAGGCGTCAGGAGTGAGGAA